GTTAATACCCACAGTGTAAAAGTGCCTTGTGGGTTCTGCTAAGATATCTCTTGTGTCCCCCGTGTGGGATTTGGTCAGCTTCAGCTCCCTCATGGAGTTCAGCTTACCACCAGCATGCTTTAAGGGAAGCCAGACATGAGCACTAGCTGAAATGGCCCTTGGAAGTCACTGTCTCCCAAACGGAAAGGAACTTTATGAGCATTACTGGAAGCTGCTGTGGTTGAGTTACCAGAAATAAACCACTTCAATTTGGGGCCAAATGCTCTCAGACCACTGAATTTCCCACTCTGGTAGCTGGGCCACCTTCCTAGTGCTTTGACTTCTCAGCAGGGAGATATTCTGTAAATGCCACCCACTGCTCTTGCTGATTTGGGTGGGCGGCAATGAGGCAGGAAGACAAAGGTGGGTGCCTTGCTGAAGGCTCCTGTTAACGTGGATTCTTTTATTTTTTTTTCCTCTTTTCTGGCAAATGGGATTTAAAAGAAGTAGCAATAATAGCTCCGTTTCATTCACAGGCAATTGCAGGGCTTGGGGGGCAGGAGGCAGCTGGAAAGAGAGGCTCTTCCCATAGTACAGGAGCAGAGGATGTGTCCTTGGGGAGGCACAGATGCCTCAAATGGAGACTTTACACACATGGGGGTGGCAGGATAAGTGGCCCTTAGCCAACGCATCCTTGCTATTCTCCTGCCTGTCTTTGATTTTAAATAAACTGCAAACATGACGCACAAGCTACGTGTTAACCTGCTTCCCATCAGGAAGCATGGGGGCTGATGCCTACACAGCCCTCAGCAGAAAAGATTTTTTTGACCATCACCCCAGAAAAGGGGGCAGGGACCTGTCAGCCTTAGGTCCTGGAGGTGAGACTGAAGCAAGGAGGGGTTTGCCTGCTGCATGCAGGGAAGGGAGACCTGAGCTCAGTGCTTTAATCCCAAACTCATGTGTTCTCTTCTGTGGGAATAGCTGGTAAAGAGGCAAAAGCTGAGAACAACAGGCATATGCAAAGATTCTGTGTGGCTCAGGGCAAAAGTTGTGACTGGTACCACCTCTGTGTTAGGATGGAACATCATCCAACAATTCAAGTCTTTCCCTTGCTGAGCCTTTGAACACTGCGAAGACAAAGAGCCTACCGGCAGATCCTCTTGGCCAGTGCTGTGGGTTGCCATCTCCACCAGGATCCCTCTTCAAGGGTTTTTGGTGGAAAGAGTGTGGCAAGAACCCTCTGTGGCTGAGGCTGGTGCCCTTTTAGCAGCATGTTCTCCCTGCTGCACTGTGAACAGCCAGCCCTGCCTGCACCATGGCCAATGCACCAAATCTATCCTAAACCCAGATAACACAGTCGATTGCCAGGCAGTGCCTGGTTTCTTGCCCTGGAGTCAGGGAGAAGGAATGTGGGTGGCTCTGCGTGCTGAGGCTATCTATGCTGTGGTAGTGGTTAGCTCTTCTTGGTGTTGATTTCCAGCCTCCCTGGGGGTTGGAAAACAGCAGGAACCCTTCTCTGTTGTCCCATCAGCTTGGATGCATGGGGCAATAATCCTACATTGAGGCAGTCCAGTCCAGCTCTGGAGTGGTTCAGGGTGATGCTGGAGGGTATTACTATTCCCTGTTGTATCTCACGCTTGGCATAACATCTGGTAGCTCACTGTACATATGGTGCTGCCTTACCCTGTCATGTCACCCTGTGGAGCTGGGATTGCAGGCCACAGCCCGAAGTCTGCCAGACCACATTCTCTGGCACAGGACCTGCTCCTTCTTATATCCCCTCTATTCTGAAGCCCTCAGTCTGTGAGGAGCAGGTCACGGACTCTGAAAACCGTTCTTGCTCTTTGCTATCCCCCAACCTTTTCCTTGTGATATGACTAGCAGTATCTTCAGTGCATGATCAAAAGCCTGGTTTTCTCCATTGCCTGGAAAGGGCAATCCTTGCCACGTGGTGGGAATGGCTATGGATGTCAGGATGGAGGTGGACTTCTTCCCACAGAGCAAGGGAGCAGCCCTGCAAGGACAAATTTCCCTACCCTTGATCCAGTAGAAGGTGTCAGATGTTTTATCTACAACCCAAAATACCCTGAGACAGACCCAGTTATCTCTCAGCAGAGGCCATAGCAACTTGTTGAAGGGGCACTATCCACTAAAAAATGCACTTCTCTCATATAGTTTTTTCCATCCCTTTGCTGAGCTATGAAGTTCCCAAGAGCGGAGAAAAACGCTCATGCTCAGTTCCTGGCTGGGTCATGCGGTGCATGTGTCAGCACTTTGGGTGCAATCAGTCTTCCTTTGGTCAGTGAGTTTCTTCCGTTGTTTGGGTGGGCCTTGCACAAACTTTGGGGGAGAGTGAAAGCTTTTTTAGAAAGTGGAATATATGACTGTGAAACCACAAGAGTGTCGGAGGGTCTCAGGCGTGGGTAGGAGAGCCTAAATGGCTCCTGGATTTCAGGATGTTAGTCACCATCACTATCACTTTCCTGGCCTACTACTCCCTACTACCCACCTTTTGTCAGCATCCTAATTCTCCATGAATCATGTAGGATTTTGGGAAGACCATTCTTTCCTCACCATCTGTACAATTCATAGTGCCTCATGGCTGCTACTGTGACATAAAAAAATGTTAGTAAAATAACCACAACACACTCATTTTGGAACCATATGAGAATTCAAATCGACAGTTTCCCTCTATACTTAGGAGTAAAACCACAGGTCCTGAAAAAGCTCCAGCTGGTATGAGGCTCAACACGCATAAGTGTCCAGGAATATTTGAGGTATGATATGTGGAAAAACTTTCCTACTGTCAAGCTGGTTAATGAAGAGGCAAACAATCTAAGGGTACAATGGGAGATCCTTCCTGTGATATTTTCAGAGGGGCTTAGATGAGTAATTCTTAGATAGTGCTGGTGATACCTGAGCAGGGTCACTTTCATGTCTACACGTCTATAATCTATCCTACTTTCTCTCCTGGAAGACAAAGTCCTGTTCAATATCTCTGGTTTTAGGCTTGGGAGCTCTGTGATGGCTTTGGTGCTCTCTAATGGATTAAGCTGAACCTAAGGAAGATATTATATTTATCCATGGCCATCCTCTGTGAGAGGAATGCCATATCAGTGACTGAAGGGCTCCTGGGGGAGAGCTGCTGAGCATAAAATAGAAGAGCAAAGTAAAAGTAAGAAAAATGTTGCTGAATTTGTGGTGCCGTTGTATGCTGCAGGAGTTCCTGGAAAAGCTCCCTGGCAGAGGCAGGAGCTGTCCCAAACAGCTAAGGACAATATCAACACCAGGAGCCATGGCTCTGGCATGGAAAGGCAACAAGCCCCATTATACCTGGGCATGATGTAAAAGACACTGGACTGAGCTCCCATGCCTGTGCATCCCATTACTTGGGTGGGTGTATCCAACATCTTACCAGGAGTCTGGGGGCAAAGAATCCGGTCTGGCATCCCAGACACCACTATGTTTCCAAAAGAAAAGTTACCTACTTAATTTTTGTTTGTTTGTTTATTTAAGATGCCAGAGGAAGGCATCTTAAACAAAAATCATGTACAGTACAAAAGCAAAGAGGGTTGGTCATTCATGGAATGCCTGGGTAAGCATCAGGATGCAGTGAGTGCTACAAATCTGTGACTTCTATGATGATTAATCAGACACAAGGACTAACAGTCCCTCAAGGATTCTTAGTTATGAAAGCGGTTTCTGTCTCAGGAAGTCCTGAGCTACAATCAGCCTGGAAGATCATGCAGAGGTAATATCACTGTTGGCCTGCTCTTCTCTTCTTCTCCCTCAGGCATCTATCAGCCAGCATTGGAGACAGAGCACTTGGCTAGATTGATGCTCACTTTGACTCGGCACAGCTGTGCTTGTTCCTTATGTGTGGAGCCATAGGAAGGCTGCTGTTGCACGTAGAGTTTTGTCCATGACTCTCCCTGTCACATCAGATCATAAATATTTTACAAGGGAAAGCTTTACAGAGCCAAAATGTAATACTCTTCCCTTTTCCCTGTGAAAAAGTGTATTGCCTCACATTCCCAGGCTGTTGATCAGTGCTGTCTCTGGTCACTGATGCCACGGTGTGTGCCTTGTCTGCTGTCCCTGAGGACACCCAGACATGGAGTTTCATGGGGCTGGGTGAGATCTCGTCCTTTTGTGCAACTGTGTTTAGAACCTATCTCCACACTCACAGTGGGAAGTGTGCCAAGAGAGGGGTCACCTCCAGGAGGTCAGAAGTGAGAGGACAGATGGCCCTCTGCTATCTTTAGCTAAGCACTGCATAATCTGTGCACTGCAAATTCCCTTGGGAAGAAACTGCACAAAGCCCTGTGGTGGGGAAAGGAGCAGGAGAGTGCATGTATGGGGCTGTGGGAAACCCTCTAGGTGCTGTGAGGGAGCTGGTGTTCACACCTTGTGAGGGATGAAGAGACTGCTGAAGTGAGGTCCACATTGCTTTGCAATTTGGTGAGAGGCACAGCTGATGCCAGCCCCTGGGCACTGTCATGCAAAATCCAGGTGGCACAGGAAGACATCTTCCACCTTGGTGCTGCTGTATGTACCAAGGCTGAGGAGCTTTCCAGAGAAGTCTGTCAGGGAGATGTGGGGCTTGGTGTGGAGAGGCAGGCACAACTGCTTGTTCTGGGATGCTGCCTTGGAAAGACCCTCCTGAACAGTGGCTCATGTACTGCACACAGTGTGCTGGTCTGCTGGCAGACGGCCCCTGTCTGAGACTCCTGGAGCAATCCCTGCTTGGGGAAAGATCTGCCAGGCTCCTCCTGCTCCTTCCCTCCCTTTTGCCTGGTGCTCTCCATTGGGATCTATGGCTGACACAAGATTTTTTGTTATGCTGTTTTCCTTTTTCCTCTCTGAAGGGCCGACAAGGCCAGGATGGAGACAGCAGCTCTGCTTTCGCACCAGAAAAGATGGCTGGTTAACGGGGAAGAGAGGGCCTGGCGCCAGCGGGTGGGGCACAGCCATGGGCCAGGCCCCGTGCAGGAAGCCGGGGCACCCCCTGCCATATTTGCACAGGGCTGAGGACTGCCCCCGTGCCCCCTGTTCCCAATCCCGTCCCCCTGTGACCCGCTCCCACCAAATGGCTGCCCCCCCCCGGCTCCGGCAGGGCTCTCCACACAACGGAGGGGCTGTGTGACCTGCCTGCTCCCAACTTGGTTGCTATAGGAAAGGGAAGAGGCTGGAGAGAATGTGTGGGGCCTATTCACACCCCCAACCCCGATTCACAGTGCCCCTGAGGTAATGTTTGCCTGGCTCGCCATGATCTTGCCTGATAAAGGGGCCTCCGAAAAGTCAGGGGGGACACACCAGACCAAAGAGTCTGGGAGAAATATTTGCCTTGAATGCCAGTAACATGTGGAAATGGGGAGGTTGAGTGGGGAGGGGGGGGATGATAAGAAAGGACTCTTTGAAAAATTAGGAGGTGGGGAAAAATGCATGCCTGGCTGGCCCCACAGGCTTGCCGCCTCTGCAGAGTGCAGCCACGCATGGGAATATTGGGGTTCCTCTTCAGTGCAGCCAAATGGTGACGTTGCAGAGGTACATGTGTATGAACACTTACAGGGATGATGTGACCAGTATCCAGGGGTGTTTTCTCCTGACACCAGGTATCCAAAAGAAGCAGCAGCTCTGCAGCAGCAGCAGGGGCTATACATCTTCCTAAAACCCACCTTTGTTACTTTCTGTTCAGCCATCTCACCCTGAATGCTCTCACAATTCAAATTATTACTGTTAGAATAATATTTCTGCTTTTGTGCAGTCAGAATGTCCTGTGGGCCTATCTTTTTGTAGGTTGTAATTGTTTGTTTCAGAAAAGCCCTTTGGCTGCATGTGAAACCTGGGAAACAAAACCAAAATTCCCATTGCCTAAAAACAAGCAAACCAAAACTCCAGTGATCCTGTAAATGTCTCCCTGTGCAGATTAAGAACAGGAATTTTGTTGCGGGGCAGGCAGTGACCACCTCTTAAATTTTCATAGCTGATTTCAGCAAATGTCCTATTTGTATACTTGATATTCTTGAGTGGCCTGATCAAAGCAATGAGATGAGTATGTCACTGCTGCTGGGGTACTTTGTGATGAAAACTGCATTCAAAATGCATTTTCAACATTGCTGATGAGGCTCAGAGATTTCCTCTCTGTGACAGTGTTATCTCTTCTCTGAAGGAGGCTTGAGGAGGGCAGTGGGAACATCTGGACTCTGAGGCACGGAGAAACAAACCAGTCTGGGGGAAGGTGCATGGCAAGAGACTGGTCAAACCATTACTTCAGAGGACTTTGTCTTAAATCAGCTGTAGTTGCTTGGATGGGATGCTCACTATCAGTGGGCATGGCTGGGTGGTAAGCTCTTCCCAGTGTGTCACCGGGGTCAAAAGGAAACAAAACAGGAGTGGGGTGGAAGAGGGGAAAAAAAGAAAAACCAGCAAATATTATAGTGGCATTTTCTCATGGGAAGGGAATATAGTCTCCAGCTCTGGTAAAAAAGAAACAGAGGGGGTTGGGGCACTGCTACTGAGAAAGGCTGGGAGCCTGGGAAAAGCACTTCTATGAGAGAAGGAAAAGATGAGGGTGATTTAGGATAAGAAATGTTGTCATTGGCTTTGACTAGAGGGAGAGCAGGTCTGTTCCTTCTTTTAAGTGGCAGCATTGTAAGAAGAAAACAGACTCCAAACAGAACATGAATATTGTTTATATAAACCTCTGCTTATACTGAGAAAAGGGCACCTAGGAATGGGTTTCTCAGCCTTTTTCTATTTCAAGGAGTAAGCCCTCACTTTGAGAAAAGAGAAAAAAACCCCTTGTGCGTGAGGGAAAAATAAAAGGAGCATCAAAATGCTTGATTGATGACTGGGTAGAGAAATGGTGTTCCGAGAGGTGACTTCTGGCCCTCTAAGGATAGCTGAGGGAGAGAGACAGAAAGAAGCAACATTGCTTTTATTTGTGATTAAATAACACTTTGGAGGTCTCACCCCCACCTTGGCAGCCGTTCTGCAGACAGCAGCCTACCAGCTGGAGAACACTGCCTCTCCAGCACTGGGAATACACAGCACAGCAAACAGGGAATCTGGGACTTACTACAAGCTTTATTTCATTTCAGCAGCTTGACTGGGGTCTTGCCATAGGGTTAGTTGCTGTTAATCCTGCATTTGTATTTAGCAGATACACCTCTTGCTCTTTTTTCTTATGGAATTACCCTGTAGAAAGCTCTCATGGGTGATGGAGGCTGCATCTCACAGAGTTTAACTTTCATTTATCTGCAGAAGAAACAGGACTTGTAACACTTTTGCTGTTGCTTAAGCTTAAAATCTCCCCTTCCCCCCATCTTAGGTTAAATTCATATCCATCAAATTATGTTTTTGCTTTTGGATGAAAGTTTTTCTTTAAAGCTTGTGTTGCAAGTGACCTGGTGAGGCTGAGCACTGTTTCTGAGCCCTCTGAGAGCTCCCATGGCTAGTGCAGATTAAAGGAACTAGGTCAGATTTCTAAACTATAGCATACACGATGCTGCTGTTCCAGCTGGACTATCTATAAAAGCTGGAAAAGAAAATCAGTCCTGGAAAGCGTTTCTTGGATGTGCACTTCCCAGAACTCCCCCAAAAAGTCATCCAACTGTGCAGGCAGGAGTGCAAAAGCTTCAAAAGGTTTTTCCTAAATCAACCCAGCCAGCTGAAATCCACAGGAAAGCTTGTGAGAATTCTGCTCATGAGATGAAAGATAAGGCAAACAAAAAATGGAAGAAAAAGTATTTTTCTACATGTCACTCCCAGCATTATTTAGTCACTCCCAGCATTATTTAATGTGTACTAGTTCTTAAATAATTGGGTTCCCCCTTCAGCCTTATGCACGGGTAGGAGGACTTTATCACCCATGCAGAGCAGTTCTGTCTGGGGCAGCACAGAAAGCTGTCCATTTGTACTGCAGAATGGTTTGGGATGTGCAAGGAAAAGTAGGTTTGCAGCCCATTAAAACTCCCTCAGGGAAACAGAGAGGTAGAACACAGCATGCTGTGGTCTGTGGTCTCCTGACCAGGCAGAAGGACTGTGCTGTCTATCTCATGAAATTTTTTGATCTCTGGCTTCTGTGAAAAGGGTGCTGGCCGCTCAAACCAGGTTGGAGCCTGACCAAAGCAACATCCAGATTCTGTGGCAAGTGTTCTGGGATCAGACCACACGTGATGAGTACCCCAGATTTGTGCTGCATTGGGAAGAGACTATTGTCATGACCCCTGCTGCACCCTGGGAAAGTCACTTGGCCATGCTCACAGGAAGGAGAAGCTGGCTTTCCCTAGATCCAGGATTTCCTCCTTCCCCATTCCCCTCTCTCATGTGCTGCACCACATCTTGCCCCACTCCTGGCATGCCAAGACCAAAAAAAAGCATGGAAATGTGGGCTGCCAGCGTTCCTGTGCCAACAAGAGGGCTGGTACACGGCTGTCTTGTCCCCAGTGAGAGAGGTGGCTTTGCTCCTGCCCCGCAGTTCTGTTGCCACATGGCGCCAGCCTGCAAAGCTGCCCGTGGGACTGGGCACCCCTGGCATGGACCGAGCACAGCTGAGGAGACTTCCCCAGTGTGGGAAATTTCTAAAGAAGCAGCTTCCTTTAAACCACATTTTCATTTAACTCGTCTAAATATACTTCAGTTTCAAAACACACATTTAAAAATAACTTACAGAAATATTTATATGGACACCGAAAGGAACTTTCCAGCTTTGGGGATTCAGCCTGCAGCCCACTGCAAGAGCCCACAACTGCCTTTCTGCTCAGTCACTCTTCACTTGTTATTGAGCCTCTTGTTTTGGGAGTGTTTGAGTCTCTTTTCCCTTAAGTTATCTTGCTTCACTCCACCCTGCCTCAGGGACTAAGAGGGTTTTGCTTCAGTGAGGCCAAGGCTGATATTGCAGGATAGTTTTTCTCTCAGTCACAATCATCATAATTCTCTCAATGGTACAAGTTTTGTTTCAGACCTGGAAAATTCAGCACCTCCTGTGGTGGGGCACAGCACATATTTGGGAACTCCCTCTGTCATCACCTTGACCCTCTCTGTGCTCTTCCTTCATTTGCTTGTCTCAGTTCATGTGTTGCTTGGAGCAGATCTCAGCTTTGGCAAACATATGTCAGCCTTGCACACTGGGCTTAAAGATGGGATTTGGAATCTTCTAAGTGGTTTTGCAACCCAAATGAAATACTAAGTAATAACAAAACCTTCTGCCTAGTGGTTTTCACCATCATTTATTCAGTGCTGTCAATATTTTCTTCAGTGACACTGCTAGTTATCTGGAGGTGTACCGATCACTTCCCCTTGTCTGTGTGGACAATCCCCTTTGCTAAAGAAAGGCTAGGCTCTTACTAAAGTATCACAATTAGGTCAAGTCCACAAGTCCATACTATACATCATATGGGAGAGAAGCAATCTGATGGGGTGGGACAGAGGTTGTCTAATAAGGATGTGTTGTGTCATTTGTCTGTGTGTCCTGGCTTTTCAAAAGACATCCCAACAGCCCAGGAATGTCTTATAGGGGGTTTTAAATGTCTCAGTTTTTAATTTCACCAGGTTTTATTTTTAGATCACGATACAATGTTTGTTCAGTACATATTGCAGCATTGGTAAGAATCTATCCTGTGTTTATCAGGAACAAACAGCCCAGAGGAAGGTGTGCTTGCTATGATGAAGAGTATTTGCATTACAAGAGAGGTCAGATGACTGGAAAACTCTGAATCTGTACGACCATTCAGTCTTGTTTGGTGTTGGAGAAGCAATTGATCTTGAAATGTTTAATTACTGAAAAAGTTCTGCTACAATAAACATTTGTGTTGTTGTAGATGAGGTGACTTGCATAGGAAAAAGCACAAACCAAAACTAGTTCTGCAGTATCTTTTATGGAAATTACTTGTGACACTTTAATGTGTCACTACCAATAAGTGCCTCTGGTTTTTTATTTTCAGAGTGAGGTTCAGCACCCTACTGGTTTGTTAACAATTTTGCCTCTCTCCCTCCATGTTTCTTTTTATATGTACAGGTTGGAGAGGGGTTTGTGAATGAATGTGCTTTCTTTGTGCTTCAGTGTTTCTCATCAAACTGTAGTCTAAAACTTCATACAAGGCAGTGGGAACAGACTCTAAGTCACCAATTAAATGCAACTAGCTCTGAAATGTCACACAACATCCATTTAAAACAGTTCAAACTCCAGGCTTGGATTAAGATCCAGGCGTTCCTAAAAACACAGGATTAAACTGAAAGCTCAG